CGCACACACACAGGTTTGTAATTATATAGTTGTGGGGACTCTTCATTCATTTCTATGGGGAAAACGTCAAAATAACAGGTTTTTATTACATTGTGGAGCACATTTGGTAACAGACCAGTGAAAACCAGCTGGCTTGTGCTCATTTCTACACCTAGTTCAGTTCTAGATCATGACTGGGAAGTTTTCAGATGCATTAAAGCAACTATTTGTTTCTGTCGTGTCGGAAAAGCACTTTGCTGTCTGTGATGTTTTAACTTATTGCCACCTACACAGTTACCACTGAGGCTTGTTCTTTTTCATATCGAACGTGAACTCTGTCGCTACGTTTTTCCCGTCCTAAAGGTGGATGTGGCACAGATATAATGGCAAAACACTTTACTGGCAGACTTCAGAGACCAAACTGCATGCTTTCTACTTGTCAGACAGATGCACTGTTTATGCACTTGAAGCCAGTTAAAGTAACACTATCCAATCGGCACTATCTAAAGGTGCTACTCTTGATTGGATCCATTTTTATTTATTAAAGAAAGTGTCAGTATATTTCAACATTTTTGTTTTTGGTATCATATATTCATTTGTATTCATATAGTTTTTGTCAAATGAAAAATCTTTGTTTACATATAATTTCAGTTTTCGTTGATGGACTTAACATTGGTTCGGCCGTCGGGGTGTGTCCCCCAGTTTGCCTAAATTGTGCAGCGGTTCCCAATTTAGAAACTGGAAATTGATTGGTGCGAGTTTAAATGTACATTCACAATGCCTGTGAACATTCATCCAGGTAATGTTCTTAATTGGTGTTAATTGGATTCTGTGTAGTCATGTGAAAGATTTGCAAAATTAACCCTCCATTTTCTGTAACCACTTGGCCTATTCAGGGTCATAGGGGGTCTGTAGCCTACGGAGAACAACCAGACTCAACCCTGGTGTGAGGCAGCAGTGCCAACCACTGCACCACCACTGCACCACCACTGCACCACCACTGCGCCACCATGCCATCCGACTGGTGAGTTGTGGAAAAAAAAATACCCTGGATGAGTTAACTACATTTCAGTTTTATGTGATTGTGATCTTTTTATAATCTCTGCTGATCGTAATGAGATGCTTGGCAGGAAGGAGTAGAGCTAGATTATAAAGTGTATATTTATGTGGTAGGTATTTGAACAAATCGAGGTCACGTAGATTACCTTGTAAAGCAGTTTGTGTCATTTGTTTTGAGGTAATAGATTTTCTTTTTGTCTGATTATTCATTGTAATTCTCCATATGCTCTTCCGGGGGAAAAAATACTTTTAGGAAGAGAAAAAAAATCTGTACATTTCCCTAAGGACTGATTCAGAAAGTATAATGTCAAGATCTAAGGGATCATTGTGAAATGTTCAATCCGTCGTGCTCTTTCTGCAGTTAATCCTTATATCTGGCCTGTCGTATAGGCATGCACACTTGATAGTCTCCCCCCCTTTTTGATGCATGAGATATATATTTTTTTTCCTATTTTTTATTTTTTTTGCACATGTGGACAGGACACAGTGATGGAGTGCACTGAACGACGTCCCCCTGGTACCGTCAGGTTCACGGCCAATTACACTATCATTTTCGGGGTCCCATAAGTGAGGGGTCATCTGTCAGCTGTGTGGAGACCCTCTAATGATCAAATTAGTGCTAGCCTCTCACCCCACTGGCCACCTTTGACCATTCAAGTTTGAGGTTAAGTTTTGAACTCATCCGGCTTACTGAATCAGTGATGAGTTAATCAAAAAATGCTCAGTGATGCGTCGGCGGTAAATCAGAAGCGAATAAAATCAGTGGAGTTAGTTTAACAGGATCCCGAAATTAACAAGCCGTCAAGATCCTGACTAAAAGAGTCCAATTTACATTAGCCTTTCAGCAGTGACGGAACGACAGCCTTGATCAGCCTGGTCTTTTTTCTGGATGATAACATTGGTACTGTTGGCAGGGCAGGAGGATCGTAACGTGCTGACCCCCCCCCCCCCCCCCCAGCTCGCCTTTCGTGGGTGAAACGCAAAGCAGGTGGCATCTCAAGGACACATTTTCCATAACAGTCCATCTCACCTTCTTTATAGTTTCTGTCATCCATGTGTTTTTTTTTTTTTTACACACATTCCTTACACATCACTGACTTTCCATATGTATGATTCTTTACACTTTATGCATCCTCTGGGGGGGGGGGCGGGATGCAATCTAGCAGTCAACTTGGCAAGAAATATTTAATGCAAACAAAAAGGCTCACTTTTTTTATAAATGGATAAAAGACTTTGTGCTCGATAACCTTTGGTTGCTGTGGAAGGTCACAGGGCAGAGACTCGGGAATAAAGAAATCGTGAAAATAAACGGAAGGCAGTGGCAGCTCCAGTTCTGTGAGGGTACAAACCCATTTATTCTGCATTTATACACCCACTGGATACACCCCCCCCCCCAAAGATTGGACTAATACAGTATGCAAAGCAGATATTTCTGCAGCTTATTCTTTCTCACAGTGCACGTTGCAAATTTAGACAGACATAGTCTCCGAAAATTTTGCTTAAATCTTTCGATTGTGTGCTCCTTCAGACACAAAGAGATGCAGATGCAATTTTAAGCAATTATGAATTAGCAGTTCCTCACAATTTTCACAGAAAAGAAAGGGTTAGAGCCTGAGCCAGAGCTCTGTAGGTGTGACAGAGCCCGGCAGTATCAAAGTTTGCTGTTCTTATGAAATTGGGAGACCAAATTCAGCACCTGCTCAGAGGCTGCAATGACCTTTGTCTGCAGGTAGGTGGCACTGTTCACACTGGTCTCATTCAGGAAGTAGCGATAGTTGACCATAATGCCACAGGAGTTGGCGATGCCACGTGGGCTGGTGTCTGCCAGCCAGTTGAGGCGCCACATGGTGGCGCCGTTCTGCAGATGGAAGTTGGCGACTGGGTTGAGGGCATAGCCACGCCTCTTCTCCCCATAGAGGTACCACGCACAGAGTCGCATCAGTGCTGGCTCCAGTGTCCGGACCAGGCTCTGAGAGCGGATCCACTCGTTGGTAGTGAGTAGCTTCCAGAAGGAGTCCAGCGTCATGGCACCCGCTTCCATCCCCAATGCGGCCTCCACTTCCTTCCACTCCATCTCTGACAGTAGCCCTGTTCCCCGGCCCTCCCTCCTGTGCTGGCTGAGGATCCCCTGCAGCCAAGCAGAAAAGCCCGGAATGGGGGAGAGGCTGGAGAACTGGGACAGGTGGGGAAATTCACTCTGCAGGGAGATAAGAAGACAAAATAAGAATCAAGAAGAGAGACAGGAAGACAATTCATTTCAAACAAACTTTTCCTCGACCAAATCGCATCTCAGCAGGTGTGGAGGAAATCGTCGTAATTACCAAAGGACCTGAAAGCCGTTTATGGAACAAACAGTAAGTCTGCCGCGAGCAACAAGAACTAAGTGTGACGTTAACCGCTTACAGACTCTGGTTATGCTTCTGTGACGGAGTAGCTTCTGATGGATTAAACCAACGGGGAAGTGTTTCCGTGGGCAGGAGACTGGGCCTCCGATAGCCGACGGTCAGCTGTCAGGTTCAGATCGATACCGCGGCAGCATGAGGAACATCGGTGAGGGGATCAGTCTCGCAGAAGAGGTTTAAGAAACACAAGACAAAATCTCTACAGGCCATAGGTGAGATTTCATCGAGTGCCGGCTGCCCCGTGGATCCAGCTCCCTACCTGAACTCTGCTGCCCTAACAGTTTTTCTTTTTTGAATAGTTCCCAGTGTAATATTTCCAGAGAGTCACTTCAGTACTCCTTTCAGAAGATCTGGCTTTTTCTTCTTCGTCTCCCTGTCTCCTTGTCGGCCTGACCTCGGTCACCCAGAGCCAGCCGATTTGCTCGATTGGGGGGGGGGGGCTGTGCATGCTCCGGGCCCTCCAGACATGGAGAGAGACGCCACCCCTCTCCTCTTCCCAGGATGCCTCCAGCGGGGAGGATAATTCAGCAGAGAGTCCGTCGCAGACTGAGGGCTCCATGCGCTGCTGCATTGTCTGGACTGACACCCCAAGGGGCGGAAGAAAAAGACAGGGATGGGGGAAGAAAGCAGAGCGACCCCCCCCCCCCCAAAAAAAAAGAAAAATCAGCCACTGGCCTTGATAAGAATGGATCACCATCTTTACTCTTTCACTTCTCTTCTGCTCCCCCCCCACCCCCGTCTCTCATCCACAGGGTTGCTTTCAAGAGCTCTCATTCCAATCCCAGTCCCTCTTCTCTCCTTTTTTTCTGGCTGGGGAGCCTTTTTTTGTCCCCATTCTTTTTTTCTTTAGTAGAACAGGTGCTGGATCTGTTTCCCTGGAGATGTAGCAGATAAAGCCTCTCCCCCATCAGCAGTACGCCGACTTGTCAGAAGATCCCAAGACAGACAGCTGCGACTTGCCTTTCATTACAGGAGGCTCCATGCGTTTCCCAAGTCACGCCATCACCCCAGGGTAATTCGGGCTATTCACACGATCAGGAAGGGCTACGCACACTCCCTTATCGTGAGCCAAGGATGCCGTACCACCAGGGGCGCAGTATGGAGAGAAATCAGGATGATTCCTAGGGCCCCTGAATGATAGGGGCCCTAAAAAATCAGTCTGGGTTTGGGGGCCCAATATGATATGCATTCATGGGGCCAAAAGTATCTAGCAGCATCCCCCACCTTCAGTCCTTCATTCCACCAATGCTGAGATGTTCATACAGCTCCAACTGTTGGACTGTCAGATTCACTAACAGGGGATGCCGTCCTGCATCTTTTGATGGCAGAAGTAGTATTATAGTAGCACCATAAAGGTACATATGGGGCTAGAAAGACCACTGGCGTTCTCAGGACAAGATGGTGGCTTGAGAATCGGGTTCCTCAATTGGTGATTCACTGCCTGGACTGCAGCCGGTTTCACCTCTGTCTCAGCGTTCGCCATAGTCACCGCCTGGCACCTACTACGAGGATGCTTCTCAGCTCCCTTTACCTTCTTCTTGTCTCCCCAGAAGTACACCTCCATCAGTTGTGTTCCTCTCCACTTTAGATTTCCTGGCACCTGTTTGCCACTTCATGCTGGACGGAAACGCACAAAAGAAGGTCAACAGAGGCCCACAGGTCTGCGTGTTCGTCCTGCTGAGAGCAGCTTGCTGTTTTGCATGGGCGGCCTGCTGTGCTCGCCGTTCATAAGGGGCTGCCGTGTCAATTACTACTCTAATAAGACCATACATGTGAAGCCAGAGAAGTGATGACATCGCTGCTGCCTGTGCCCCCTCCCTTCTTTTCCTCCTTGCTGCAGTAAACAGAGTCGTCATCGCCTGGACATGACTTCTATGACAAATGGCTTCGTTTTTTTTTGTTTTTTTTTTTAACGTGTCTTTCTGACCTCTGTCCCCTCTCTCCCAGTTGGAATGGCCCAGCTGGAACAGAAACCGATTTTTCATTTGGAAAACGTGAACCGAGGCGCCCTTTTCTCAGATTCTCTTCCTCTGGACCGAACCATCTTCGGGAATGCCCCGGGGGTCCTTCTCGGGATATAAATTGGGAGATGCGCCGTGTGGCGGAGGGCTTTCTGCTCTAACACATACGTTTCATTAGTCGATGACTGCTAGAAGTGAGCTTTGTTAGCCAGAAAGCTGAAGCTTTTATGGAGGTGCACTTTGAATGGTAATACCAACAGTGGCATGGGCTGTTCCATCAAGCCCGACCCAACTGGGCACTAGTCTGCCTCATCTACTGTATATACCACAGTGCCTGTTTACTGGAAATGATCCCAAGGTTTCCTAGAAGTTTCTTTGAATCTTTACAGTAAAATATCCAGCTGTATAAAACAGGTAAAAGTATTGTCATTTTATTCCAAAGTGTCAATTGTACAGGGCCAAAAAGTGTCAGTGGCAGGAGAAAAATGCCCCTCAATCATCAGGTAAGTCGGCAAGAAAGCTGTCTCCTCTGAATGAATCCGGCATCTCCTATCAGAATTTCTTGGGTATGAAGGACCGCTGTGGCTGGATAAGAGAGGTTCTTTGCGGCCTGTTTCCTAAGACTTGAGGCGCTCATCGAAGCTCACTGTTCATCCAGTCAGAAGAGATCAAATGGATGAGATCACCGAATTAATTCTATTTATGAACTGAATGAGAGCAGAAGGTCAACCAAGCGAGTCCTCTTCCCTGTCAAACGAGATTCCAAGCAGTCCGTGATAAAAGACACATGCTCATTCACGCATCCAGAATGAGCTTGATTTCTTCGGGTTTCCAGCTTCAGATCTGACAGAAGTAACACTGATTTTACGCAGCTTTAATCGGGTTATATGTGTTAAAGCGAGAGAATATTTGGCGGCTCATAGGTTCCTCCAGGAGCCTCATAGGCTCTTCAGTCCTCCAGTGGTTGGTTACCGGCTAATTGCCCTACAAGCCTCACCTGCAGTTCTCGAACGACCCTCTTGATGAGATAATTGCCGAGTTCCACCCCTTGGAGCCCCCCCTGGGTGGAAGAGATGGAATAGAAGACTGCAGCGTTGACCTTATTCATGTCCTCTTCTGTGTCCAGAGTGGCAAACTCCCTCACAATGGTCTATGACATACAGACAGACACAGAGACCCGTCTTAGGCAACTTAAGTAAAAGTTCCAGTTAAGATTGCAATACATTAATCTATCCTGTGAAGCACAAGGAAGAAAGCAGTATCTCGCCTGGAAGTGAATCTAATCCTGTAGTGCATGGAAACCCACATGAAGGGCAATTTTAGGGTCATCAATTTACCTCTGGATAGTGGGAGGAAACTGGCCTACTCTGGGTAAAGCCTTGCATGTACAAGGCCTGGATCATTATTACATTTTATTTATGTAGCAGATGCATTTATCCAAATGGACATACATTATGTTTGAGAAAGCGGGGTCAGACAGTCCCTGAAGGCTTAAGGGCTGAGCTCAGTGGCCCAACTGTGAAAGCAACTGTCAACCTTTCCATCAAAGGTGTCCTAGCCTGTTGAGTGCCACCCCCACCCCACCATTCAACCACTAAGCCACACTACAACGCACCAAGTTGCTATTCCTCCCCCTATTTTCCTTCTGTAGTTCCTGAAAGTTGCCAATTATGTGTTATTCTGCTTGTCCAGCTCTATTATACATTTCAAAAGAAGCAAACATGGGAAGATTTGACGAGGAGGCACTGACTGATTTAAAAGCAGCATGTGCCCAACCCACCCCCAGGAAGGCTTGCGTTTTTTGGTCATTGTCCCACCTTGTAATTTTCATTTCAATTTTTTGATGGCCATTTTTTTTTTTTTGTATTTATGGAAATGGTTTGGCAATATTAATATGTTTTTCATGCCCATCAGCCAACCTGAATGGAAGTGAATTCAATTGAGACAATTAATTTCCAAACAATGGTCTAAGAGAGACTTTAATTAACTACTTCAATTTGTTCTGAGAGACAGGAGAGACTCAATAGACTCCCTAATGAGGTGCGGAGAACAGGAACACAGTGCTTGAGAGCTGCATTGAATACGGTTGATGTACGAAATCAGGATCGGGAAATGAAATGCTGTCATACTGATGGATGCAATGCTGATGGGTTAGGGAAATCTCGTGAAATACATACTATTACCATTATTATTAATGATATTGAATAACTGATGAACTTGACTACTTTAATACTAAAATAATTAATTATTTTAGTAAGTATAAAATAATTATAGTCATCACTGGTATTATCACCAAGCGGATATTGGGGGGGGGGGGCAGTGAGTTAGGCATCTAGGATTTGTGTCTGTGCCTGTGATCAGAAGGTCACTCAGCAGAGTAGCCACATTCTCATTGGACAGGGCCAGAGGGGCACTGGTCCCAGCTGAAAGCTGATTGGTCAACAGATTGGTGCCCCTCCATAGTCACCGATTCAAAACATAACATTGGCTAAAGATAAGGTTGGCTTCTCCGTATAAATTATGGTCCTTCTTATGTCCCCCCCCTTCTTATGTCCTGAATTGCCCCTAAGGAGGAGGATTCTTCAGTGAACCAGTTAAGCTGGGTACAGACATCAGTCTGAAGCCAGCCACTTGCGGGAGGTGCGGACGTCGGCCTTCACCTGGATGTTACTGGAGATGTCCTGCGTCAGAGCCACGTGCAGGACCACCAGCGGCTCCCCAGGCATGGCCGAGTGCGTGAAGGCGTAGCAGCGCCGGTAGGGACCCACCCTGCGCTTGATGTCTGTCCAGTTCCTCACAGGGTGCACGGCCTCGTACCTGGGCATCGTATGTAATCGATGAAGCGTCCGGGGAGGAAATGGCACGACCGTAATAGTGGGAAGATCAGCCCCCCATGGGCAGCCTTGGTCCCGAAGACCATTAAGAAGGTTTTAACACTTACGGTAAAATAATATTTCTACAATAGAACTAATGTACCGATCTCTTACAATACTGAAGCAGTAACCTGCCTAAAATGCTTCAAACCCCACACACCAATGGCCATCTAGGACCAGTATTGGACAGCGGATTACTTTCTGTCCCTCTGCTTTAGTGTAACAAGCTGACCAGACATGGTAGACATTACTGCTGGCCAGTCAGCTGGGCATAATGTGTTGAGGAGGCTTTCTGGAGGCTATCTGCGTGCTCAGGTGAGTCATGGTGACGGTAAAGGTAGGATGAGTGTTACTGGATATTATCTATTAGGTGAGTTTTATATGTATTTTCAGTAATTCTTTACATTAACTGCACCTTCATAATGTCTATAATGCATTCGTGGGAACATTCAGTGCACCTTTATAATGCATTCATGGAACATTAATAAGTAGCATGGTAATGTAAAGCGTTACCGTATTTTCTAGCAAGTAACCAACTATATCTATTTGTGGTGTACAAGAAAGTGTTCAGATCTTCTGCGTTATGCTCCATGCTGTTACCAAGCGATGCCCCTTACTGGCTGATCTTCTGCAGGATCTCACAGGGTGATTGCCACGTGATCCTTTCCAGACGGAGCAGCCCCACGGAGAACCACTCGGACAGAAGGCCCTTCAGGGTCCCACTCAGGTCCTGGGGGGGCAAACAGTCAGGGGGTCAGAACAACTGTAAAAAAATTTAAAAAAACAACCTGCCGGATTGTGTCTCTGGACTCCAGGAGCGCTTCTGTTTTACCGGAATCTTTGGGTAAAATTCAGGTATAAATTAGAGCTCTCATGATTACTCAATTGCTCCATTATTAAAAAGCTTCGATTAATAATAATTTCCTTCTCGATTCCTCTGCAATGTGGCAGAACGAAGACGGGCGCATATCAAATGGGTCCAAATAAAGCCCTCCGTTGTGTGGAAGCACTTCGCGTTAATAGCGGATGAAAATGCAGTCGTCTGTCAGTATCGCGAAACAGAACTTGAATATCACCACAGCACAACTGCAATGCAAATACATCTTAAAAGAAGATATTCAGGTTTAATGGACTCGCCCAATAATGCGAGGTTAGCCAACTATATGTGCCATATACGCATCTGAGTAGCCTAGCTTGTCTTTGTCATTACTTTAACTCAAATTATTTTGCTTAGTTTATGATTCCTGCATGTCGAAGTAACTCTTGGTAACGAAGGTTAGCCCCGTCGCTTAGCTGCATCAATTTACATAATCACCATATAATATAAATTACTTTTTTTATGAACATACAGGGCTGAACATTGGAAAATGTTTTTGTGATATTTAGGAGTTGAAAATGAACTATATAACCAAATAGAACTTATCTACCAACAGAATGTCAAAAAAGTCGGTGGTTTTGCCCTGAGTTATGCCAACAGACACAAAGCAGTACTGATGACATCCCCTGCTTTTGCTCAGTATCATCTCTGTGGAATCCAAAATATTTTCATACAGTGGAAGATTACGGTAATGTCTTTTGGTGACCAGTTTTTGTTTGCTTTTCTCCTTTTCACTCATTTTTGTTTAATTTCACAATACACTGTATTCCAGTGAGTGCAACAGCAAGCATAATTACATTTTTTTTTAAACATATACTAGATTACACTGAAAAGGAACCACTATTAAAATCGCAAAACTTAAGTTTTGTTTCCTATGACTGAGCAGTGCAACTTATTGATGGGTTGAACCCAGCAGTCTCGGTCCTTGTGATGTGACAGCTGCATGTTCATGAAATGGCGCGTTAATATTAACATTACACATCGTGCAAGATTCTTTGTGTGTGTGGAGTTCACATGTTCACGCTCTGTATGTGTGTGTTGGCAGATCCTCCGGTTTCCTTCTGCTGTCCAAAACCATGGAATGTAAGTGAGTTGAAGGGCCTAAACTGACTGTATGAGTGATTGAGTGTTCAACCTGCAATGGTTGGTTTGATTAGTGCCAATTACAATGTATATTCACCAGCGCCATTCCTGTCAGGCTACAGTGGGCACGGGCTCACCAAAAGATTGGAAAACACTGATGGTCAGATGAGTCTCAGTTTCGACTGCGATATTCAGATGGTCGGGACAGAAGTTGGCGTAAACAACATGAAAGCGTGGATCCATCCTGCCTTTTATGAACAGTTCAGGCTGCTGGTGATGTAATGGTGTGGGGGATATTTTCTAGGCACACTTTGGGTCCCTTAGTGCCAACTGAGCATCATTTAAATGCCACAGCCTACCTGAGTATTGTGGCTGACCATGTCCATCACTTTATGACCACAGTGAATACCCACCTTCTAATGGCTGCTTTCAGCAGGATAACATGCCTTGTCACAAAGCTCATATCTCTGGTTTCTTGAACATGACAGTTCACTGTACTCAAAAGGCCTTCACAGTCATCAGATCTCAATCCAATTGAGCACCTGTGGGATGTGGTGGAACAGCAGATTCTCATAACGAAGGTGCAGCCAACAAATCTGCAGTAACTTCATGAGGCCATCATGTCAGCATGGACCAAGGCCTCTGAGGAATGTTTCAGGCACCTTTTTGAATCTATGCCACAGACAGTTAATGCAGTTCTGATAGCAAAAGGGGATCCAATCTGGAACTTGCTAGATGTACCTAAAAAGTGGCCAGTCACTGTACATTATATTAATTATATTACATATAAATGATTACTCGATGAATCGTCACATTAAACATCTGTAAATATAGAAACAAATCATTCCTCATTATTCTTTAAAACGTGCATCAAGATTAATGATATAAGTACAAAGGTTTTTCCATTTATTGCATAATATTTTTCTATGTACTTCCCCATTCCAGTCGGAATGCTAATGCGAGTCACTTCTCCTTAAATATGTCTGTGTTTTTGTGCTTAAGTCTCTCTTTACTCCCGGTTTAAGGAGAGGACAGCTACCTGCGCATCATTCACACTGTCTGGCTTACTGTTCCACTCTTTTTTTTTTGCCTATCCTCCTCCATTCATCACCCTGTTTTGGTCTGTAGAAGCAGACACCCCGGTATTAGCATGCCTTGGTAATATCCCTGTTCATGGGAATTGAAGTACTTTCCTTATACCTCCCACAATCTTAGGCGGTTTTTAGCATTGCAAGTGACTCCACTACCCAGAAATGCAGAATAAAAAGAAAAAACTGCTGTCTATCTTCTCAGTTATCATCTTTCATTATCAGAACTTTACTCTTTTAAGTCTAAGAATGACTGACCACCAGAAACCCCTTCTAGTATGGAAAAGAAAAAAAAACACTTCAAGTATTAAACAAAGACAAAACACTCCACACAGACAGAAGCCGAATATTGGAATCAGTGGTGTGGAGGTAATTCACCACAGAGACTCTGTATCAGCGGGAACCCCCCTCTGGAGTGAACTGAATCACCATCCCAACAGACTCGGAGGGAGAGATGGAACTCAGTGGGTTATCTGATGCTGGATGTAACCCTGAAACTGAGGGAAAGGTCTGTAAAACGAGAGTCACCACCTCCTAGTCCTGCAGCTCTGAGAAGCAGAGAGTAGAAGATGGCGGAAGAATCTGTCGCACAAAATAACTCAAGAATCTGAGTGGAAAAAAATTCCGTCATCAAAAAAAATAAACTGATGTGTAAATTATTCTTTGGTTTCACACTCAAAGAGCCAGATGCGGTTTTGGTGAAGGATCTTCTAAGGGAAAACCACACTTGTGTATGACAGGGTGGAGACTTTGCAATTAAATATTTCCTCATTGCATCCCTTCTGAGAGCACATCTTCCGCAATCTGAAAAAGCCCACAATGCAACGCGACGTCCCGGCGTGGTGACAAATGACAGTCATTTCATCCCTGTGAAAAGCGGCTCACTGCAACCTGGTCTACAGAGAAGATAAATGTATAAATGGAGCAATGGCGCGTACATCCCCTCCACGGGGTGTCACAGGGTAACGACACGGAAGAATGAAACACCTGAGAGGTAAATCGAAGAAGAAAAAATTCAGAGAAATGGGATGTTGTTGGTTGGTAAAATATAAAGTGGAATCCGCCAGCTTTTGTGAGCGCAGTGCTTAAGTTCACGGCCTTTTATTTGTGGTTTTTCTTGAATTTGCACGTTTTAAATATTGATGTTATATATTCACACTTGATAAAACAGTCTGTTGGTCTGAGAGCTTGGGAAGTAGCTGACAGAATGCAATTCCGTATTACCTTTTTATGCAAGCGGGCACTGAGAGTACTTCTTTTAATCCCAGAGCCTATCAATCAGTTGGGACAGGGCAAAGTATGATCCCTCTCTGCTCATTTTCTTGTGTTAAACTTTTTTTATGAGGAACATCATTTATGTGGGGCCATATTCATGGTAGCACTCAAACCAGCATAGCGCAGAAACCAGCTAAATTAGCCCCAACAATGACATCCATGAGTATCTTTGTGAAACAACATGTCACATATTTTACGGGTCATTTCACCAGTGCGGTCGGCGAGGCGTTAACAGGCTGATTATTTTTACCTGGTGTGTGCTGATTTCTCCAATGACAGGTAGAATATGGACCAAACCAAAACTTATGTTGCAGGTTTTCAGTTCATATCTACATCTTACATAAAGCAAGCAGGAAACACTGCCTATAAAAACATAGCAATTTCCATTAAAAGCATCACTGCAGAACCACATATAGTATTGGGCAAAAGGCCGTCACAGGAAATTGTTTAAAGCTACTTATCTGGGCAGGAAGTGCAGATTTGCTCAGAAAAAAAACATAATTTAACATTGGAATATATGCATATAAAAGGTAATACAATAAAAGCAATAAGAATTTCTTCTGATCCACAAAAATGTAGTCATATCTTGTTGGACACCTTTTGTCCCCAAACCCCTCCTCATGGGCACCGCAGCCAATCTAACTTCATTGATTAACTTAACTAGTTAAACATCATTGATTAGCCAAACAAGTTGTGCTAGGTATCCAGTTCAACAAATTCATGAGTATATTGGATGGTAAGTTCAAATACAGGGGTAACTTGGGGAAAGGTCTTGAATTGGCTTAGCTGACAGACTTCGACAGAGATTCACACCAACATACATGTAATATAAACAGAAATAAATTCTAATTACCCTGAGACTTTAGCACAATATTCATTTGTTCCACAATTTATAGCTTTCTGTTAATCATCATACTGTCCCAAAAACACTGTTGCACTTACGCAACACAGGGGGACGATGTATATGCCATGTTTATCTACTCTCTGGAATTTTGGACACCCAAAACATTCATAAATCATTTTAATTATGGTGACTGCAGCATTGCTAGAATGCTAGCACAGCTTGTATTTATGTATGTAGGGTAGAGTTCAAGGCAGATGCCATTCAGTGGGTATTTATAGTCACTGCGGATTCTGCCTGGCCCTGGCACACACTCACACGCAGAGAGGGAACTCTCAATTTCCTGGCAACCGTGTGTGACTCCTGACCTGAATACTGGTCAGCATGTGTCATCGATGAGTTTTGCAATCTGTGCCCCATGTGACTTCCTGAAAAAGAAACTTATTGGCCTGTTCTCAACAAGGTGGTGGGGGATACAGTGAAGTTTGCTGCAAACTTAGTGGAGAACCAGAGATTGTGATCCCATTAACTCTTCATTATTTCTTTTACACCAATAACATGCTTAAATTAAACATATCGCAAGACAGGGTGTGTGAAGGCTACCATCATGCGGAATGTTTACCATTAAAACACAAAGGTGGAAGTGATGAAGTATCATCACCAGAAAGACTATCAGAGGACACAGAGCTTCATAAGATCAAACATCACCCACTTCATCACCTGCTGAGTGGTTTCATGGGTGATAAAGGATGTCAACACTGCAGATGCGATTTCTGGGGTAAATGCACATTCACCAATAAGAATCACGAACCCGAGCAATGTCTTTGGAATGTGGGAGGAAACTGGAATATCCAACACACATGGCAACTTCAGGTATTCTTCAAGTGAGACTTTCTTTAATCCATAGGTGCTATCCTTAAGTATAACATCTCTGTGTAAAGCCCTTCCCTTTCACTTAACTTTCAGCTTTATTTTTATTTTCAACCAAGACATATTCCTGTGTTTCTGCCGGCAGAGTCAAGCACTTAAATTCGATCCCTGAAAACACGCAGCATCCACCTGTATTATATCTGGTTGAATAAATGTTAAGGACTGTTATGATACAGTCACACACCAAGTGCTAATCTGGGGGTTGTGACATTCCTAATTATTGTGTGCAATTATAAATTCCTGTGAATGGAAGGTGACATAAGTTTCACTAATTTATAATCATTCGAATTATTGTATCCTGAAACAAAACTGGCACAAAGTGTATTACAAATCCATCTAATATATAAACAGCATAAATACACAGCCGTCACTATGCTGTATTTAGCTTAATATCACATTTTACTACCCTCAATAGTTTTCTTTTTCTGTACAACAAGAGGAAGTCCATTCAATTGCCTAACCTTCTTATAACATTCCTACTTTCATTTCAATCAAAACTGCAGCAGTAGCCAAAAGGACATCTGATTCTATTAAACTGATTAATTTATGGTGGTATAAAAATAATGAGGTCAGGATACATACATCTGAAATGGTGCTGATGATTTTGCACTTAATGACATACTATATATCACTGGCTCATTTGCTATGTAGAGGATTTTCTGTCAGCTAACTGGAACTTATGCCTGTCACCTTCTTGTCCAGAATACAGCTACACATTCTAGGGCCTTAAATAAATGTGTCCGACTGCTTTTGGGGTCAGTTAGCGAAGAAGCGGGATAAATGCTGAGCAAGCAATACCTCACCTACGAGGAGCGAGATTTGCCAACCCAAGCAATATTAATGTATCATTACTCTTTCGCTCAAATCTCTGATATCAAGTTAAGATGCTCTTGAAAATAACCAACGCCTGTATTTTCCTTTATTGCAGCTGTCCTTGGAGGAATCCTGCAGGGCAGTTTGTCACAGGCCATTACGGAAAAAGCAATAACCGGCGCAGAATGAGGGGAGGCAGCGTCCGCGTCTCCGCGCGCATCCCGGAGACGTGAAACGTCGTGCGGCGTAACCTTGAGAGTCACGCCGCGCGCGCCGAGGGAGCGGCGCCCTAGCTGTGAGGAGCCGCGGCTGGAGGAGGATGCGCTCGCAATCTCACTTCGCCTCAGGTGACCACAGTGTCCAAGGTACGACAGCCCAAATGGACTGTACAGGACAACCTTCGCCATGCGTAAGAGGGCGGCTGTGAGATTTGGCCAGAAGTCATCAAAATATGCTGCCACTTGTGAACTAGTTTAAAAGAAAAACCACACATTTTCACTTTTATCACTGTACGTATCACTGTGCACCATTTCAATTTTCAACAACCTAATGCTGAAAAACACTTTCTAGGTTTTCATCAGTGAAGTGGAAATGAGCTGAAAACCTAATGCGTGAAGAAACAAAAATGCCACTAATCAGAACTTACTTCCAAAACAGGTGAATAATACAGAACTGCGCAATACTTATAAAGAAAAACATTTAAGGGAGTAATATTATATTTTATTTTTTTCTTAAATACTATTCCGCAATATTATTAACAACGCTACGGTTTTATTGCAATAATGATTTGAGATTGAAAAGAGCCGATTTCCACCAGTCCTGATGAGGTCACCGAAACGCGTATGGCCACACGCGGCTTCCGTACTGCAAGAACGAATAAGAATATTTACCCTTATATGTGGGCTGTCGCTGGCTTTGGATGAAATGATTTCGATGAGGTCGGCGCGGAGGTCGACTAAGAACTTCACGCCCCCCTCTACCCTGCTTATGTGACTGAGCAGCTGCCGGTAGCGGGGCGTCAGGCTATACCGTAGCCGGTCTTCCGCCTGCAGCACTGTCGCTAGGTCCCTCGTCTGCGTTTCCAGCAGTTTCCCCGCCAGCTCTAACACGTTTCTGTGGTCCACCCCGAAGTCCAGAGAAAGCTTGTCCAGGAACTCCAACGTCTGTTCTTTATCTAGACTCCTGTAAAAGTGCATGAACTCCACACTGTTAGATTCCGGGGGCAGAGGGGACTTATCTTTCGTCTCGTACGTGGGCAGCGGACCCACGGTTCTCTTTAGTATTTCGTCCATGGTCTTGGGCGGGCCGCTGTGAGCGTGTGTGGTGAAATACTGCGGCTTGATTGCTATCTTGAGGGCACTTAACTGTCGCCAAGCTATGGCACGGCCCCGCAGCGTCCAAACTACGTGCAAAGGTATCATTGCACTTTCAGAATCTGAAGCCTAACAAAAATAAACAGCATAACCCGGGAGTACTATGCTATCCTTTCCGGTGTCTTAAAGGAACAGTACCTTATTATACTGTATCGGCAATACGCATCTGTTTTTACCATGTTTTTTTGCATTGTAAGTTTTAAGACTTCATGTATGTGAATTGCGCTATCGCTTATTATTTGAACAAGGTCGATTGACCGGTTTTGTTAACTTTTTTGTGTGCTGTAATAAACCTGAATTTTGTAGAGGTACTATTAACAATAAGATGGATTTTTACAAGGTTATTTGGCATATTGGGATTATTTCGAGGTACACGAAGAGCTAATTAATTTTACATATGAAAGTAAGAAGAACGTCACAATTAAATATCCTCGACAATGCTGGGAAGATAAATAGCTGAAACCATTAAAAGTTCTGAGAAACTGTTCTGAGAGAGCTGGTGGGTCTTACTGTTGAATTATGAAGTTTGTTCTACAGACTGGATACAGGGAGGAGGTAAATATTAGGAAACAACCATAGGACAGCAGAGAAGAGGGTTGGAAACTTCAGGATTCTTGTTGCTCTCATCACTGAGGACCAGAAACAGCTCTTCCTGGTCCAGAAGGCATAGCGGAGACTTCAGTACTTAAGAGAAGGCTAACCTGTCGCTCAAATCTTGTGCTGTTCCACTAATTTATTACTTCTTTAATATCGTTTATGAGGATCTTGTGTTTGTGTACCGTGCACTTTTAAAATCCGTTTACACCATGTTTACTTGTCTGCTTTGTGTTTACTGTCTCTGCAGTTTGTCTTGTGTTGCACTAAATGCTTGTCTGCACTCTACGTATCTTGCTACCGTATGGACCAGAATTTACCTCTGGGATCAATAAAATTTATTTTTTATGTACAACGGAGAGCAAATTCTGCTGCATCATTGACTGTAATTGGACTGTAAGGTGCTTTGGTGGTTGGTCCAGGTCATCACTGGATCCTCACACCCAGCAATACAAGCCATTTAGTCCAAGTGCTCACAGCTCTGTCAATAATCCTACCCGCCAAAGCCTCCAGCTTTGCATTCCCTTTCCGACTGTCGAATGGTTACAAAGCCTTTTGATTTATTTCCATCGGACAGCTTTTACCCGCAGACCATAATGGCTCTGAACAGCAAGAGCTCCCACAAGCACCTTTGTAATCGACTGATCACAAGCATCAGTTTGTGTAGGTGAACAAAATATATGTTTTAAATTATGGTAAAATTTTCAATACTTTTAATTTCCTGTTATTGTAAAATGGGTCTTTCAGAGATAGTAATAGTGAATAGTGGTTGATATATTTTCTGTATTTTTTTTTCTTAAAAAAAAAACTTAAAAGCCACGTATTTGTTTTATTGCGGTCAAGGAAGATTCAGCGATCAGCAACGACACGGAACCATATTTATTAGTGTAAAACTTTGTTGTCAGAAGTGGGATTCGAACCCACGCCTCCAGAGGAGACTGCGACCTGAACGCAGCGCCTTAGACCGCTCGGCCATCCTGACTTAGTTAGTACGTTGTTATCTCTATTTAATTGACTAATAATATATAAGAATATTACAATAAAACAGCAAAAAGGTCCGTGCACGATTATGTTTATTTAAATATATCAATGTACTGCAATTGCTGCAGAGAGTCTTTCTGGACGTCCTCCACACCGTATTAGGCATTCCCCAAAGGGGAGCGGCAGGAGCTGAGCAGATGAGCACAGCGAAGGCGCCCTGCGCTCTGGCGGCGCGGCGCTGTCGGAAGCCCGCAGCGGGTGTGGTTATTACGCCCACCCACTGGCGGCGGGATGCAGCCTCTGATGTAATCTAAGATGTGCTTTAAACCCGGATAGTAAATAACAAAACTGGCGCGTAAACGCTTTTGCTTTTTGCTTTTCTGTTCTTCCCGGCAAATCTGCATATTTTCCCGCTTACAGGTAATATTTTTACATAGTTCATGCATACATGAGCGTATTCAGAACAGGTCTGTTACATCTAAATAGTTATTTAGCACACGGTAACTGATTACAATTAGCTTTTTTTCTTTTGCATTTACAACTCTGTTTTTTTGGCTTATTTTGGCCGAGATTAATATAAAACTACCCCTGGTAAGAACAGGTTAAATGAGTGCTGATAAATTGCCATTTCCCCAATACATTTGTTTCCTAGTTAAGATATTCCTTAAATACTTAACGATTTCTAGAGATTAGAAGAGAATTATCCTTAAGTTTCTTTTCATGCGGAAAAAATGAAGTGTTTTTGCAGTTAATCGTAGGAAGACGTGACATTGTGGACTGCTCTTCCCTTAAATTGCTGAGGTATTTGTACTCCAATTTACGAAGCAGTGTTCTAACAGATTTGCTTTACTTTTAAGTGCTTTTTCATGAATTTGGTTTGTCTTTTAATATCCGAACTAGGAAGTCACAATGGACAAAAACACGCGTGCTGATCTATTGTAATACCTATAATTATACTGTTCATAATAATGTGCCATAATTAGAGTATGAAGTGCATTTAAGTGTTACATGTTAATTAGGAGACCTGAGTTAGCTTGAAATGGTGAGTTGTGTTTTTTAGAAAGGAAGCACCTAACAGATTTTTAGGAGCGCGTTTCAGAAGTGGAAAACCTGTATATCTGGAGGCCTGATTTTTAGAATTGTAGAATTTTTAGTATGTAGGGACTACCAAAAAAAATAAGCAGTTCATTTTAGCGATCTGTTGAGGGATTGATTACGTCCATCAAACCACGTGACCCACGGCCTTTAGTTGCTTGGTAAACAGGAATCGTCTTCAGCTGGATTTGCTGTGGCACTGTGGAGTGTTTGCTTGTATCTAGGGAGCATATACTGTAGCACCCCCCACTCACTGACATTCTGTCCCATGTACCATTAATTTAATTTTTCTTTCCTCTTAAAGGGACCACGCTGGACTGTTTATAGCTGCTGGTGGTTCTTTTTCTCTGGACACTGTTCAGCAGCATGGGTGGCGAAAAGCAGTATAAAAATGGAAGGAGGAAAAGCAAGACGAGGAGGCTTGATGACGATGACCAGTACAGTGGCGACGTGACAAAGAGGTTAAACACCCGCTGGTGGAGTAGCCAATGTCTGTTCTCTACACACGATAGTCCAGGCTTGATGATGATGACCAGTACAGTGGCGACGTGACAAAGAGGTTAAACACCCGCTGGTGGAGTAGCCAATGTCTGTTCTCTACACACAATAGTCCAGGCTTGATGTGCACATGCAATATCAGTCAAAAGTTTGGACACACCTGTCGAAAATCATTTTTCAACAAGATAATGACCCTAAGCTCACCTCGAGGTTATGTAAGTACTGTATTATCTTGTGAGCATAGAAAGCGATGGAGTGCTGTGACAGATGACCTGCCCTCCACAATCCCTCCCCCCGACCTGAACCCCACAGAGCTGGTTTGAGATGAATTGGATTGAAGAGTAAGAGTGAGGTAACCAAATTGTGCCCAGACCTTGTGGAAACTCCTTCAGGACTGTTGGAGAGAGATTCCAGGTGCCTACATCTGGAAGCTGGTTGAGAGAATGCCAAGAGCCTGCGATGCTGTCATCAAAGCAAAGGGGGCTGTTCTGAAGAGTCTGAAATTGGAGAAAATATTGTGATGTTGAGCACATCTCTTGGTCGTTGCATCGTTTGCCATGCATTACTTCATTAACTCCAGGCCTGAATGACATGGCTAAAACAGAGAGAAATGCATTAAAAGCGTGTGTGTCCAGACTTCTGGCTAGTAGTGTATCTGGCTGACAGAGTGAACCTCTGTCCCCTTTCTAAGTCCTGAGCCACACTTCAGGTCATCATCTCTTTTCCATATATGAATGGGAATGCAATTTGCCACTTAGCAGTTATTGTTCATCACTGTGTCCTTTAATGCCCAGGAAATAGGATTTGGTCAACCCATTTCCAAAAAGGATATACCGTCGGGGGGTCGAGTTCAGCCAGTAGCACTGGGAATGATTCCCGGACTTAAACGGATACATTAATAAGTCCCTAAACCTCTGTAGGCTTTTGTGAAGGTAACTGAGGGGGCAATATGATCTAAGTGTACCAAATCTCAAAGGGAAACGCACAAGGTCAACCTTAATCACCACTTCAGTGTTAGCCTGAATGCAAGGCTACAAATGGAAATTGGTAAGGAGGCAGTTAGATTAGAAGGAACAAAAAATACACAAGGAATGGAATTTTGAGGTGCCTTGGTTTCAAGATTGGGAAATCTATCATCTTGGATATTTAATATCTACGATGGGCTGAATGCTTTCATTATATTTGCAGTGTTTCTTGGTTTCTTATGGCCAGTGCTATTTCAAGAAGTTCGATTTTAAGCTGGAACATCAGTGGCTGTTTTGCTGAGCGGCCGCTCTGTGGTGCTGAAGACATTCCATTCAGTCCCAATGATACGGCTGACAGTGATCTAACAATGAAACAGTTAATCGACTAAAGAATTCTACTTTTTGTTTTATGAAAGTGTTTATCTTTATAAAAATATGAGTTTTACATTCCCTGGGAAATGCTTATGTCGACTCCCCACCTCCCTCTTTTGTGCCTTTAAATAAAACCACGCGCACCTGTACTGGGTGATGTAGGTGCAGTGATGTGAGGGCTTCCTGCACACTGCAGTGGAAACCTGTCCCAGCCCTCATCCTTATGCTTGATTGCACTGTTGATTGAATAAATTGCATACATTTTAAATCTGAAACATTTAAATGAAAATTGCTTTGATCTGAATGTACTAGCCGAAGATGTAGTAATTTTCCATCCGCGTTAAACCAAATTGTTGTGCGTAATAACTGTAATGGTGAAAAATTGGACTGGAATTTTGCTTTTGACTCATGCGATGAATGTGTGATTAATTGAAAATTAATAATGATTGCTCATTTGTAATATTCAGGAATTGAATGAGTGATTAATTAGAGTATATTTTGATTAAAACCAGGGTTTTAAGGTGCTGTTTTAAAACTCGGACACAGTAAGTGTGTTTCTGTCTCACTTGTCCCGTCCCCCCCCCCTCCCCCGTCCCCCCCGCATAGTAAAAAAACACTGAAGAAAACAAGCAAAGTCGACAAGAGGCCTAAAAGTGAAGAAATGGAAAAACCGCTTAAGAAGGTAATTCAGCCCCACGCCCTCCCCTACGTCGGTATGTAAATCAGCCAGAATTTGCTGTGCTTGCTTTGTGCACAAGTTTTAATGTCACATGAGATGTACATTTTCCCCATGAAATTACAGATGCATAAAACATGAAGTCGTCAGAAAGGTTACAGCACTCCCAACACTGGATCAAAGCGATCTCCTGTTAATGGTAACTGCGTTTACCACTTTCAATGTTTTCTTCAAACAGGGAGAGACCCCAGAAATTGAGGTCCTTGACATCAAAAAGGAGAACTTTGAGAGGTGAGCTTTGGCTTTGCATGTGAATGTGAGGGAACGGTATTGCGTGTGCGAGAGGTTGTCTCTCTAAAATTGTGTCGATGCTTTAGTTATTGGGTCATGGCTGAGCTGGTCCTGACTGTATCATAAATCATTACATGAACATCCACTCGTTGCTATTGGGGGCCATCTTTCATATCTAGACAAACTCTTTTGAGGTGATGGGACCTCGTTCTCACAATAGGCGCTTCCAAGCTACTGGATTGCATCCATTATTCTGAAACGCTACAGCTGTGGCTTGATTGATTCTTCAACTCATTGGGGAGTTTGTCTCCTGACAGAAAGGTAATAAATAAAAAATCTGAGACGATGTGTAGATGATTTCAAGTAGCCAACTTTGGCCCAAGGCTAACCAAAGTGTGATACTGACAGACTGATAGTGGCACAGTGACGGTAAGCCCATCCATTATGGGTGTAGTTATCAAAAGGAGCAAAATCTTTGTTTTGAATCGCTGTCATAAAGTGGTCTCTTAATGCCTTCAAGTATTTACTGTTACTTTAACGAGGCAGGATAGTAGCTAGTTTCAAAGCTTTCTCGACATCTCGTCATTTTTCAGCGGCCTTGTCCTTTTCCAGTATCATAATCCTTGACACCACCTGCTGAGGTTGGGTCAGTTGCAGCTGAGTGTTATATGCAGAGGTGGAGATTTCAGGTCAGGAGACTACAAATCCAGACCAAGATTTAGTTTCAACCAAGCAATTGAGTACTCTGTGACTGTGACTCTATATACTGAACTGGTTGGTTGAAACTAAAACTTGGTCTGGATTTGTACTCTGGACCTGAAATCTCCACCTCTGGTCATATGGCAGTTTTTGCGGTGTCAGTGGGTATGTGTGTTAGGAGTTATGAGTTTTAGGCTTTCAGAGATTTGTAAAAATCACTCATTTCCCTTTGGTGTCTTCATTACTGTGATCTGCCTTCACTAATTCGGTGATGGATCTTTCACCGGTCCAGCAGAAGGACGTGGCGTGCCCCTCTGCTGCCTGCTTCTTAGCCCTCTTACCTCATCTGGCTCCTTCACAGACTTATTATGACTCTGGCTTTTTCGGGACGGCGAAATTGGTGCATTCCGAGCTCCGTTTCCTTTCCGTTTCGACAGCTTCAACTGAAATATGTCAGCGGAATGAGGGGAAATGCAAGACACTGAAACTGTTTGTTGAAGTCCTTCCACGGTACACCAAGCCCCCACCCCCCTAGGTCTGGGTCTGTTCTAGGTGACATAGAGGGATTCGGCATGGTAACAGTAATGAGTTGTGGCGTGATGGTGTCTGGATGGAAAGACGGGAAAGAAAGGCAGACTAAAGGTAGCTCTAGGTAAGGCAGGCTGGTGACTCTGAGATAGAGGAGGCCCCGCACGGCTGAGGCGGTCAGAGCATGTGCAGGAAGGCAGCCCTATGTGTAACACAGGCCGCTGTCCGTACTCCATGTTTCCTTTGTAGCAGGCAAATCACATGAGTATTTCTATGGTATTTTTATCCATTTCTTTTTTTCTGCAGCCTGTAATCTGTCGGTTGTAGACACGTCGTAATTATTAAGGCAAACAAGTTAATTATAATAATTGTAATTTATTAATTTGGCTGGAACCCTTCACTGAAGTCCACCCTCTGTGGGGAGTCGCCGACACAGTTCAGTAATTATCGTCTGTAATTGCCCTAATCATGTTGTTATCGCTGGGCAGCCCTTTTTTCCCTTTGAACTGAGTCACGCTGCTCCTAAAGACTAACACCGTGTTAGCAGTTTGGCCGTGTGTTTAACTGTAGCTGGAAGTCTACCACCCCATTCACGGGAGTCAAACTGGCCAGATCAGGGGCTGTGTGACCATTAGAGGCTGTATTGATGGGGCAGTGGAGTCGTGTTGAGTTTTGGTAAGAAAAGTGGTGTGTTTAAGTGATTATTTTTTTGGGGTAATTTTATAAAATTATTTTAGGTGTTTAGGAGATGGTGATAATTGTTGTTTAAAATGCATTACTCACTAATGATTAATTCATCACTCTCTACTCCGGGTCAGCATATTTGCTTTCTCTCTTCTTCTGCATTTACATTTCACATTTTAAGAATTAAAAATTTATTTAGCAGGTGCTTTTATCCAAAGTGACGTCGGCTTTAGAGAAATTAGGGTCAGACATTCCCTTGGGCGACTGGGGATTAACCTCGCTCAGGGGCCCAATGGTGAAATCACTCTGCTGACCCTAGGATTAGAACAAGCGACCTTCTGATCAAAGGCACAGTGCCCTCAAGGGAGGAAGACTAGGCTGTTGCCTAGGGCCCTCGAATTACCTGTGTTGCCGAGGAAGTGAAATGATCACTGGTTTTCTGGGGGGGGGATGCTCTCAAGTAAAGCTTTGCCCTCGACAAGGTAGAGCTGGCTTTGAGTGCCCTAACACTCTGAGCCACATACCGGGAACATTCTGCCTGGAAATAATGGTCCCTTCATTGTATTTTGTGTTTTTTTTCCCCTCCAATTTTCTTCCTTGTGGGCTTTTATAATCATGACCAAAGCTTACTGGGTAATAATGCTGTGCTCTTTCCTTCAGAGCTCTTGGCCAACCAAAGTCCGAGGATAGTGACTTCCAGATGGAGAAGAAGAAGGGGAAGAAGAAACGGAAGGATGATGACTTCCGGGTGGAGATGAAGGGGAGGGGACAGAAGAGACGGCGAGAGAGTGAGCGGACAGAGGGAGTCTCCGACCTGGCAGAGGGACACACGTGAGTGCCGTCAAAAGAACTGTTACCAACCTCAGGTACCAGATTTGATTTTAAAGTTTTCCTTTGATGCCCAGAAAACCTTCAAGAAAGTTTGTAGGGAATAAAAATTTAGGTTATCGAGAATTAGCGTAGGATAATTATTAGGCTAGAATTTTCAGGTCACTTTGAACCTTATCGCAGTTTAAGGCTCAGAACTAATGTGGGTCAAAGCCATCAATAGATGCTGTGCAGCAGGGTCGTGGCAGACGAGGGAACGGGATGTCTGGCTTTTGCGACATTATTTACTTTTTTGTTAATATCACTATTGTCGTTCAAGCCTGACTTGAGAATTACTGCAGTAGAGGATGCCAGAGCCCCTTTAAAAGCATATGAATATAAACATCACAGATGTGTTAATGTGTGCTGTCATTACATGACATGTTATGTTTATACTGCGTCAGGTGTTAAAACCTCAGTCTTATTACTCAGGGCGGAAAAGAATAGGAAAGTAAAGAGGGAGGAAGAGGAACAGGTGGATCAGGCTCCTGAAATGAAGAGGAAAAAGAAAGTGAAGGATGAAATCGACATGGAGGTGGGTGGGTTGATGGTGAATGTGGGGTGTGCTGTTGGCTTGAGATGGACATTATGAGCAGGTGCATCTCCAGATAAACGTATATAGAGGGCTTTAATGACCCTTGGTGGTCATGTGGAGGACATTGGTAATGTTCCTTAAGGCTTCCTGCCATTGGCTCACATCATTCCACATCATTTTTTGTCTTGGTGATAAATCAGTGACAGTCTCCCTTTATTAGACCGATCTTCACATCTCCATCAGCTAATGACATTTTCAGGCTTACATCCTAACCTTCCTGTTTGCCTTCCGAGTCTCTAATTAGCTGCTTGAAGAATGCTCAGAAGGTCATGCCGGATGCTGGAAAATTGGATGTGTACGAATGTACTTGTGTGTTTAAACATTAGTGCTTTAGCAAATGTTTTCAGTGGATTTATGGCTTAAAGGGGACAGTCATGCAATTTGTATCACTCTGAACACAACGCTTTATAGAGGTGTGTATATACTTTAGAATGAGGATGAACAAGGTAAAGTAACATTTAATCCAGAATGTGGACATTTTTTCATGTCACTAGGTGCCTATAAAGGATGCATTAACAGATATGGCAGAAGGAATGGGAATGAAAAGAGGATGTGGGCGGGGGGGGCAAAGAAGCGGGAATGTAACTGTGGGGGCGGCATGGTGCTTAGTGGTTTGGACTTTTGACTCACCTCAGTGGTTGAGGGTTTGAATCCCACGTCTGCTCTATGTCTGCATGTCCTCCCTGTTAACTAGATTTCCTTCAGTTATTGTGCTTTACTGCAGTCCGAAGGTGTGTAGATGGGCAAATTGGTCATTCTGCATCACCCATGGTCAGTGATTGTCTAGAGTGATGTAACAAGTATTCAAGATATTGAAAAAAGTTGAATATAAAAATGACTTGGGGAAATCCTCCATCTGAATAACTGGTTAATAACCAAAATGTATGTGTGCTGCATATTCTGACTGTGGTGTGGCACCAGTAGAGTTCCTCTCTCAAGTAACGAATGCATAACTGCAAACAGAAAAGATGGCGGGTGCGAGTCAGGATGGTCAACCCCCCCCCCAGCGCTTCCTGAGACTCTTCCCGATGTTTTGCTGTGTCTGTAGATGTCAAACAAAATATAGAGTATATGTAACGATTCATGAACACCCTACATATTAGAATAATTTAAATGAAATTAACTATTCACTCAACCGATGTTATATTAATTGCTGAATCTCAGTAAGTTGTTGAAATGTTACTAATACTCTGAATAACCTTTGAAGGAGGGCTATCCAAATAAAGTGTTACCAAATTCAATATTTGCAGCCCCAATAATGTGTGAGATTGTGCAGCTCTGTGTGCCCTATGAAGGAATACTAATCCATCTGTGGTGTATCCCAGCCATGCGGCCTCTGCCCCCTGGGACCGGTTTCAGGTCCTCTGTGACCATGCCCAGGATTAGCACTGGGATGATGGTGCAGAGAGAGAAATCTGAACTTTCATCTTCAGCGTATGATGTAATACTGGGAGGGGTCGATATAGAATGACCTTAAGATGGCATTTCAGTGTTGATAGGAAGTTTCGTGGCTTGCAGCTGGGGGTTAGAGCTTTGTTTGGTATTTGTTTTATTAATGTCACTTAGGGGATGAAATTGCCACACTATGAAATAAGTCCAAATATGTACCTTTTCCTGCAGTTGGAACCCTATCTATTACAAGTCTATTACGGTAAAATAAGTCCAACCTTCAAACGGTTACACTTGTCACCCATCAATTATCAGTTAGATGACACCTTATTACGTTTGTCACCTGAACCATGTGTAGGTTCCTTGCTGTCGCCTTTGGATTGATTCCGCGTGATTTACTTCCCAAGGCCAAGATAGGGAACGAGGGGCAAGCAGTGTCTGTAAAGAGGAAGAAGACTAAAGAGGAGTTGGAGGCTGCGAAGGTTCTGAAGATGAAGAAGAAGGAGGAAGAGGAGCAACAGCGATGGCGATGGTAGCGCTGGACAGTCGGATGAAGGGGGCTTCCCTTCCTTTCTAACAATTATTTACAAAGATGCCACGATAGGCTCCTATCTGCCAGTGTCTCACTCGGTGTCTCTCAGGTGGGAGGAAGAGAAGTACCCGGATGGCATCAAGTGGAAGTTCCTGGAGCACAAGGGGCCCTACTTCCCCCCAGAATATCAGCCCCTCCCTGACGACGTTCGGTTCTTCTACAACGGTGGGAAAGCTTCTCCCGCATCGCCCTCTGGCCATTGGCTGTCAGAATGTGTGCCGTACCTTGTGCCGTGGGCTTGCTGGCATGGGCTCAAGGAATATATGACCAGATTATCTGCGTTGGGTCCTCATTTGTTGTTTGTTGTTGTTACTCTGAGTTTACCCATTTTGTTTAACAGTTTCGAAGATACTAAAGGGTTGTTTTGAATAGTGGAGTAGCAAACAATTGCTGTCACCCCAGGATGACCTCAGACATAGTATTCCTTTTGCCAAGTCCTGTGTCATTATCTCCCACACATATCCAAACATGGACTTCTGCTTTCACTCTTTTCTACTGAACCTGGATGTGTGCTTGCATCCCCCTCAGACAGCCCTCCTATTAGTCCCCTCAACAGCACTTTGATTGTAGGTCGTCTACTACCAAGGGAATGACGGTTGTATGTCTGTACTAAGGTTAGTTGACCGCTTGGTGTTCCCCCGCAGGAAAGGCAGTGAAGCTCAGCCCTGCTGCTGAAGAAGTGGCACTCTTCTTTGCCCAGATGCTGGACCATGAGTATACAACCAAGGATGTGTTTCGCAACAACTTCTTCAAAGACTGGAGGAAGGTAAGAGATGGTGTCAGTCCTGGTCTAAAAGAGATGGCGAGATTGGACTTTGGTTGGGGGAGTTGGCCATGGCTGCTCATACCACACGCTCCATGCACAATAAAAATAAGAAGGTCAGCTGCTTCATGTTGACGTCAATGCTGAACCTTAATCATATAAGCAAGGTGAGCACTTGTGGCAGGTCCAATAGCTGGTCTAGGGAAACAGGCATCGACTGGGTAACACTTCTAGCTGTTTCACTTTAGGATGCCCCGTGTACTTTACAATATATTTCTCTTCTGCAGAGCTGTTCGGATTGCAGTACGGGTTGGGGTCGGGAACCTTAATGCCTTCCGGTGGTTTGGAGGGGGGGGGGGGGGAGGGTGGTTACGGGAATAATGTTAAATTGAGGTTTTCAGAGAGGCATCCCACAAAGCCTGGAGGCATATCATGCGGAATTAATTTCTTGCTGCTTAGTGCTCAGTGCACTTGAAAATACGATTTGTGTAAAAGCATTGATATGCTAATCCAGACAACTAGCTTCCCTGCATATGAACAAATCCAATTAAAGAATTTTATTGTGACAAGGAAGCCTTTCCTCGCCTGACCGCGTCAGCCCTTTGCTCGCTGTTTGCCTGTCGTTCACGGCCAGAAGAATGACTCGAGGCTGCCCTATAACTCAATAAGGACCACAGCCATACGGATCGGACTTGTACCTGCAGTGCGAGTCTCTTCAGCGTCCTCGTTGTTTGTACTGCGTGAGGCACTAGGCCCAGTATTACCCTCTGAGGTTATTTATGTCCTTTTGTTTTACTCTGTCCGTCTCCCATTGACTTAGAATTTATGGTTATATAACCTGCAATGCACCAGACACGCAGGTCAGCTTGTAGTGCTGTTTAGGACCATGTCTCTGTGCCGGTGTATCACTGATGAGCTTTGGGTGGCGCTGCTAATCACCATGCGGTGCTCATAGCTGGGTGAAGTCACCTGACCCCTCCTGGTGATGTCACCTGACCCCTCCTGGTGATGTCAAACCATTTTCATATGACGATTCGCAACCTGTCCTGCCTATTTGCTATTTTTAATGTCATCTTGTGCAAAGTTCAAACTGCATTGATGTTCTTTGTTTTTTATGTAAGTATGCCTATGATCTGAAAGACTCAAGAGGTTTACTTGCCATCTGTCCGTGCGCAGACAGTACGGGTGCATGGGAATTTTTGTGCAAAGCTCTTAGAGCCAGCAGCAAAGAAGAGAGATAAGTAAAAGCCAGGGTAGGTAATAAGGGCACAAGATAGGAACTAAGAAGACATTGCAGAATACAATAAAATACCCATTTTAACAAACATCTTGAGGTGCAAAGAGGTAATAGTGAAACACACAATAGGTATTAGTGAAGCATGTAAAGCGCAGTGAAGTACCCATTGTTAAGGTGCATGCTGTAAAACACTGTAAATACACTGTTACAAGAGTAAAAACAACACAATAAATCACAGATTTTCATTTAAGAGTGTTGCACATCTGAGAATATTGCACCATAATTCTGCTATAAATCAATGTGGAAAAGATGAAGATTAAATTGGCACAAAGCAAAATCTTTGTTTCAGTTAATTCTTGTAACATATAAGAAAAAGTCTTTAAAGCTGAATATATTCTGTATAAGAGCTAAAAGCTTCTGTGTTCTTAGGGTCCGGATACTATGTTTAAATTGGACTTCACGGTGTGTTTGTGCTCCATTGATCTGCATTAACTGCAGCATACAGAAGCTCTGACCCCCACTGGTGTATCTAATCAAAATCTGCCTATGAAAAAGAGATTTTTTTGCCTTGTTGCATTTGTTGTTCATTCTAGTGAATAATAATAAAAAAAAAACCAAAGAAAATAAAACTAAGCTTTTTATAGTTGTAGTGTGGTTGGTTAATGAAATGACCTATTTAGATAGACCCTTAACTGGTGTGCTGTGGTGGTCAACCCATTAGGTGACACAGGCGTCCGCCTAGGGCGACATCTTCTGAGAGGGTGCCGACTTAGCAAGTCAGTTTCACTTTGTCTTGGACGGGGGGCGCTAGTGGGGCAGCTTGTCTAGGGTGCCGTATGGACCTCGACAGGGCCTAGCTCTGTAAAGAGGGGAAGTCTGGACGATTCCAACGGCCTCTGGCCGTAAAACATCTGGAACATGATTGGGTGGATTTGGGTTGGGGACCCAGAATGATCTACTTTAATGGGGCCCAAAATCTGTAGCGGAGCCCCGGCTTATGTGTGTGTATGTGTGTTTGCTCGCTCTGCTGGGACGCTGTGGTCAGTTAGAGGAACTGCTGTAACCATGGATCTGCTGTCTAAATGAGTTATTAGAGCTCATACTGTAATTTTTTGATATTTAGTGATTGTTTTGGTCTTAAGATTGATGGCTATAAAAGGGTATACTAAGGTGGTCCTTGTCTTGTTAGGTTCCTGCTTTGTTAGAAGTTGTATAGTTCCTGCTCCAATCCTGTTACACGTGTACCTGGGCATTCATTGGAAGCTTAGCCTAGCCACACTTATGCTGCACGTCTATTTGTAATGTGCCATCTGCCTAACTTGTATGTCACTTTGCACAAAAACATTTGCGAATCTGCCGGGGTTAAATTTGAACTAGCTGTCAATCTTGCCGAGAGATTTGGGTGTATGCCTCTGCTGGTTGAGATGGAGCTGAGACCACCACCAGACTCTGGCAGCCCCTCACGGCTTCTGTAGTGACAGCCCGATATAGAGGTGTCAATATCGCGGTATTTAAAGGGTGCGTGTGAGCGAGTCCGCTCCTTCCATCACCCACCGAAGAAGCGCGCATCTCGCCATTTGTCGTGCAGGAGAATAACTTATGTGCACTTTTCTCCGGCTGAGTCGGAGGACATGGTCCTCCACCGTGGGGAGCGGGGGTGGCTATTAAGCACTTGGTCAGCGTGCTGCCGAGTTCAGAAGTAACTTCGTGTCGTGCAGGAGCCGCCCTAATTGCGGCATTGAGCCGAGCCGTAATTGGCTCCGCATCCGGGTGCGACACGTTGCCGCGTGGGAGCCGAGGGCTCTGCCGTCCGTCCCCCCAGGAGCCTCGCCGCTTCCGCTTAATTATTCAGCTGTCTGCGTTTATGCTACATAGATACGGTTATTTATCAGCAGAGGGGTTGTTGCATAACGGCAATTATTTTTAATGCGGGCCATAATTATTTTTGGCATCCCCCAAAAACACGCGGTAATTTGCAGCCGTGCTTCTGCTTCAAACTGTTTCGCGGCAAGGGTTAGGTTACTTAAACATGAGTGAGATGGATGTGCACAGCTGCGCGTGTGTGTGTGCGCGCGCGTGTGTGTGTGTGGGCGTAACAGTATATGTCATATATTCTGGTCTTCGATATCTCCTTGCATTGAAATTCAGGTGGGTGAATCTGGACATCCATTGTTAAGTATGACAATAAAAACTGCGGACTATATTTAAATTACAAATAGCTAAAATATTTAGGGTTTCGTTTTCCAGGGAAACTATTGACTTTACGAAATCGATGGAGTTTTATCTTGTTATGTTTTCTGCACTGACACAAAGTATTGTGGTCAGTAAAATGTGTTTTATTTATAGGTCTGATACTGAAATGCCTGTAATATTACAAACCGTAGTATAGGCTGCAAACACGTTTTAAAGTCTGCTTCGTATAACTGGCTTTAATAAATTCACCAATAAAACATTTGTACTTCAAGAAGTTTTTTTTTCCCTTGACAAGTTCTTTTAGCAAGGAATCTTTATGGATATATCATATAGCAGGGCTATTTAAATCGCAGTCGTCAAGGTCCCAGCCCTACTGATTTTCCAGCCTTCCTTTACTCGTGAGCTAGGTATGAAATCCCTGGCCAATCAGAATCAGTAATTATTAATGTAACTGCCTGGGAGAACTGAAAACAAGGCCTGGATTTGGAATCAAGGTCTAGATTTGAAAAGCCCTGCTATATAGTGTCTGCATTGTGGCCAGGAATCTTTTTATGCATTTTTATATTGTGTACAGCTGTGGCCAAAAGTTTTGAGAATTGGGAACAAAAGTTGCTTCTTCAATTATTTGTAGATCTTTTTGTCCGATGTTTCTGTGGTATACTGAAGTATTATTACAAGCATAAGTGTCAAAAGCTTTTATTGACAATTACATTAAGTTTATGCAAAGAGTCGATATTTGCCGTGTTGGTCCTTATTTTTGAAGACCTGTGCAATTCACCCTGGCATGCTGTCAATCAACTTCTGGGCCAAATCCTGACTGATGGCAGCCCGTTCTTACATAATCAATGCTTGGAATTTGTCAGATTTTGTGGGTTTTTGTTTGTCCACCTGCCTCTTGAGGATTGACCACAAGTTCCCAATGAGATTAAAGTCTGGGGAGTTTCCTGACCATGGACCCAAAACGTTGATGTTTTGTTCCCCGAGCCACTTAGTTATCACTTTTGCCTTGTGGCACGGTGCTCCATCATGCTGGGAAAGGCACCGTTCATCACCAAACTGTTCTTGGATGGTTGGGAGAAGTTGCTGTCAGGGGATGTTTTGGTACCATTCTTTATTCATGGCTGTGTTCTTAGGCAAAGCTGTGAGTGAGCCCACTCTCTTGGCTGAGAAGCAGCCCCACACATGAAGGGTCTCAGGATGCTTTACTGGCATGACACAGGACTGATGGTAGCGCTCACCTTTTCTTCTCTGGATAATCTATTTTCCAGATAATCCAATCAATCGGAAAGGGGATTCAACAGAGAAAATAACTTTACCCCAATACTCAACAGTCCAATCCCTGTAACTTTTGCAGAATATCAGTCTGTCCCTGATGTTTTTCTTGGAGAGAAGTGGCTTCTTTGCTGCCCTTCATGACACCAGGCCATCCTCCAAAAGGCTTCACCTCTCTGTGTGTGCAGATGCACTCACACCTGCCTGCTGCCATTCCTGAGCAAGCTCTACACTGGTGGTGCCTCGATCCCACAGCTGAATCAACTTTAGGAGATGGTCCTGGCACTTGCTGGACCTTCTTAGGTGCCCTGAAGCCTTCTTCATAACAATTGAACCTCGCTCCTTGGAGTTCTTGATGATCTGATAAATGGTTGATTTAGGTGCAATTTTATTAGCAGCAATATCCTTGCCTGTGAAGCCCTTTTTGTGCAAAGCAAGGATGACATCACAGTTAACAGAGGAAGAACAATGATTTCAAGCACCACCCTCCTTTTAAAGCATCCAATCTGCTATTCTAACTCAGTCAGCATGACAGAGTGACCTCCAGCCTTGTCCTTGTCAAAACTGTCACGGTCACCTGTGTTAATGGGAGAATCACTGAAATGGTGTCAACAGGTCCTTTTGTGGCAGGGCTGAAATGCAGTGGAAATGGGTTTTTTGGGATTAAGTTCATTTTCATAACAAAGCGGGACTTTGCAATTAATAGCTGATCACTCTTCATAACATTCTGGAGTATATGCAAATTGCCATCATCATAACTGAGGCAGTAAACTTTGTGAAAATTTTAATATTTGTCACCCTCAAAACCTTTGGCCACAGCTGTATATACCAATGTCAGTCAAACTTGACTCACTCCCAAATGATTCTGATGCTCAAAGCACCTTATATATATATATTATTCAAGCACCTGGTTTATCATTTAAGTCTATTTCATAATTTTAATATTGTAAAACCTGAATAGTCTTGTATATAAATATTGACTGGGAAAGCCAAGCAAGAATTCCAGTGTGCTTATACATATGTGCCTGTACAGTACTTCAGAATGGATTTTGTGTGTGTGTATATCATACGGTGTATGTACTGCAGCCTGGAATATTTTTGTGCATGTTTTTTGCGTGTACTGTCTATATAGCACTTCTTGTCCTGTGTATTATACGTAAAATGAACAACTAGTAAAATAACTGAAAATGGGAAAAGTATTGAATATGTGTGACAGCAAAGTGAAATACTGTATGTGCTGCCTTCAAGCATGACAGGGTGTTGACACAATGAATAAGGGCAAAATAGATCGGAAAGAAGGGGGAAGTATTTATGGAACCGTACCGAAATGGCACAAGCTACCGATAAGGAAGTAGAAAAGGATAAGGCAGGGAATGGTCCCTCTGGGACACTCGTTCTGTGTTTTTAATGAGTGGTTGTGGTTATATTATAGTCAGTCAGTCGGTCCTTCTTATGGCATTCGTGATGATTGCATTCATTACACGAAAGGCTCTGTAGATTGGAGATTCCTTCACAGCCGATCAGAGGAGGTACTTAAGCAATCTGCCGATCCCATTTCTGTCATATGGTGCAAATGTTTTGGATCAGTAGCGGGTGACGACAGATTCCGCTCTTGGGAGAGGCGTCAGTGCAGCAGTTAGACTAGATTGTGCCGCGTCACACATCAGGTGAGGAGTTTGTGGGGTAGGTTTGAGTTTGACAGCCGCTCTGCTGCAGAGGAGGGTTAGGAGCAGGTGAGGGTGTTAACTTGGGTAGTTGAAGTGTGGCGGTTCCCAGCCTTGTAGACTTCCTTCGACAGTCTTTAATGTGAGACTGTCACAGCAGTGGAATCTTTGCTGGTATTTACCCTGGTTTAGTCCCGTGTTTCCAGTCATGGGGTCTGTGTTTTGTATCGTTTCCTATCTTGTGTCCGGTCACTTGATGTAGCTCTTTCTCTATGTATTGGTGCGTGCTAATTGTGGCTACAGTTTCCATATTTGTTTCCATGAAATTAAAATACTAATCTCTCTTCCTTGAGTTGTTAGAAAGACTGGCTTTCCTAGCTCCTCTCCCATAGTGTGTCAGACATCCATGGCAGATCCATCTACACTCTTTACTCTTTCATCTGAGGCTTTCTGTAGCTCTGGCTGTGACTCATGGTGCCGCCCTTTGGTCGGTCTTTGCTCCTTTTCCGCCTCTGGCACAGAGGAGGTCCGTAGTCAGATTACTGAACATCCCCATGCAGGTCTTCTCTGTACTCGGCGGTCGCTGGCTGCGGACTGGCCTCTGAAATCTGTGCATCCCATGATGTGAGGCTATTTGGCCACATTCCTCTGGATAAACACATTTAAAGGGTTGCTCTTGCAGTTTAAGTTCATGGTCTTATTGTCCTGTGTGTTCAGAGGGGGGCAGGTGCATGGAGGGGGGGGACGGGGGGACAACAAGACAAACAGCAGTGCAATAAGAAAAAAGTCAGCGGTTGATGGTATTGGACCCCCACAACGTAGACAACATAGAACTCTGATTAGTGTTAAGGAAGTAGTTTGTCGTGTTTTTAAACAAGATTTGCCCTAACAACCTGATTTAGAGGAGGTGCCACAGGAAGGAGGACCATGGCACAGGAAGGAGGACCATGGCACAGTATTGGAAGTAAAGCACCCTGATAAGGAACCTACTGTAAGGTTGGCTTGTTAGGCTCTACATTGAGTAGAGATCATGATGATTGTTAGAAGAGCTGCTAGCTTGACTGCTAAATTAACTGCAGGCTCTATTTCTGAAGCGGTGGGTCCCTCAGTGCCCACGACACTGTATAAATAAAACATGGGTTATATGTTTGTTTACATACAGGTGTGTTGCTCATTCGTTGGCACACTCTCTCCTCAGGAGATGACTCATGAGGAGAGGAAGCTGATAACCCACCTGGAGAAGTGTGACTTTGGAGAGCTCTTCCAGATGCACAAGGACAAGGTGGAGGCCCGTCGCAATATGAGCAAAGAGGAGAAGCAGGTGGGGCTCCGTCGCAATATGAGCAAAGAGGAGAAGCAGGTGGGGGCTCCGTCGCAATATGAGCAAAGAGGAGAAGCAGGTGGGGGCTCCGTCGCAATATGAGCAAAGAGGAGAAGCAGGTGGGGGCTCCGTCGC